TTTAGTGAATTTTTCTTCCAAGTCCTGGATGTTTTTTTGTGGTTTCTTTGTGTTGGTTATCCATTTTCTCTTGCATATCATTCAGTTTTCTTGCAATCCATGTTTGAAATTCTTCTGAGTTTGGTTAATGTCCATTGCTGGGGAGCTGTTGTTCCTCTTTGGGGGTGTGCTTTCCGTTTGAGTCTTCATACTTCCAGAGTTCTTTCGCGGGTTCCTTCCCGTCTCAACAGGGTCATTATTAAAGCTTTACAGGATGCTTCACTCCGATGGCTGAGTTCAGCTTCTTTCCACTCCTGTTAAGGTTATCCTTAAGGCATTTGGAGTGCTTCACAGAACTCTTATCAGCAGTGAATCTCTGGGACAGGTGTTTGCAACTTGGGTCAATTTAGTCTATGTAGTTCTTGGCTGTGAGGCACTCTTCAATACAATGCTGGTGGCCAGATCTTTGACAGTTGCTGTTGCCTGAGAAGATTAGATTTGGGCTCCCACAGAGCCAGAGAACAGTTGCCAGATAAGATTACCCTCTTATTTTCTGATTGTAAGTTTTACCTTCAGAGAAAGGAGGGAAGATTTCTTAGAATACAAGACAGATTGTTAGAGTGAATAAGAGAACATAGGGTTTTGACAGTTTTGCTGTCTTACTGGCTTTACAAATAAATTTTAAATACCTTGGCTTAAAGAAGCTAAGTTTAAGCTAAGTTTACTCAGAGGAAGTAACTTCTTAGCTTTGCAAATGAATCAATTAGAAAACTATTTCAGTGCATATTATGTATCAGACATTATTTAGCATTGCAAATACTGATATGAACAAGATAAACAAGATTTTGCCCTCAGGGAGCTTACCTTTTTGTCTAGGAAGGTAGACAGTTTTCAAGTAAATAAGATAATTACAGATTATCATATATGCCGTGAAGAAAACAGGTATTGTGATGTGTTAGAGAGCAAGGGGGATACTTCAGCTTGGGGTGGTCAGGGAAGACCTTTCTGTCGTGATACATGAACTTTTCCTTTTTTTTTTTTTTTTTGAGACAAAGTCTCACTCTGTTGCCTGGGCTAGAGTGCTGTGGCATCAGCCTAGCTCACAGCAACCTTAAACTCCTGGGCTCAAGCAATGCTCCTGCCTCAGCCTCCCAAGTAGCTGGGACTATAGGCGTGTGCCACCGCACACGGCTAATTTTTCTGTTTTTAGTGGAGATGGGGATCTCACTCTTGCTCACTCAGGCTGGTCTTGAACTCCTGACCTTAAGGGCTCCTTCTGCCTTAGCCTCCCAGAGTGCTAGGATTACAGGTGTGAGCCACAGCACCCGGCCATGAGCAGAGTTTTTTTAATTGTGAATCAAGAATGGGAATGGAGATAGAGGGTACAGGGAAAGTGCAGGGGTTATGAGAAGCATTGTGAGCAGAAGGTATTGGGAAAGATGATGTTAAGAGATGGTGCTATGAATTTTGAATTGGATGTGATTTTATTTTCTTTGAAGGTCTCAATATATTAAGATTTAAAATTGCTTTTAACTTGCCTTTTTTTGTTTTTGTTTTTGTTTTTGAGGTTAGACTTGTTTCTTGTGTGCGATGCCATTCCAGTACTGGACTCATGGAGGCTGAGCATTTATTCAGGTAATAATAGGTAACATTTGTGGAGCACTTTCTATGTGCCAGACAACAAACTAAGTACGGTACCTTTATTCTCACTTAATCCTCACACAACCCTGTGGGGTTGGAAGTAATGTTGTACATATTTAATAGATGAAAAAAATTGAGATGAGAGTATATCAAGATTGAGTTCAGTTGAATTAAAAAGTAAAGCCCATTGTTGCAGTTGAAGTAAGAGGTGCTAGTAGCTTCGATTAGATAATGTCATTGCCCACCCACCATAAATATTATGAGTGTAGCTGGGTACGGTGGCTCAAAGTGTAGTCCCAACACTTTGGGAGGCTGAGGTGGGAGGATTGCTTGAGGCCAGGAGTTTGAGACCAGCCTGGACAATATAGCAAGACCCCATCTAAAAAAAAGAGAAGGAAAGAAAAAAAGAAAAGAAAAGGAAAGAAAGAAAGAAAGAAACCAGGTATGGTGGCCTGTGCCTGTAATCCCAGCAACTGGCTGAGGTGGTGGGAGTGTCCCTTGAGCCCAGAAGTTCAAGGCTACAGTGAACTATGTTACTGCACTCCAGCCTGGGTGACAGAACAAGACCCTGTCTTAAAAAATAAAAAGAAAAGAAAAATCACAAATGTAAAGTAGTTTTGATTGACTGAACTCTATCACAAATTCCATAACTTTTTCCTCACTAGTGAGTACACCGTAATTTTGGTTTGGCTTTAAAGCAGTGGGTATGCCTTTTGGTAAAGAAAAATTCAGATTAGGATTTTTAACCCTAAAGTTTTCCTGACTTTTTATAAAGTAGGCTAAAAGTTTTGAAATAGTTAAAATTTGAGTGAATATCTATATAAGGTAAATATATATAACTAGGGAATTTTTTCTTAAGAGGTGATTAATATGGTTATGTTGATTTCTTCTCACTTGAAATACTGTTTACAGGTATTTTCAGCTTTAAGGAACCTTATTAGGGTTTTTTTTGTTTTGTTTTGAGACAGAATCTCACTCTATTGCCTGGGCTAGAGTGCTGTGGCGTCAGCTTAGCTCACAGCAACTTCAAACTCCTGGGCTCAAGCAGTCCTCCTGCCTCAGCCTCTTAAGGAGCTGGGACTACAGGTGTGCACCACCATGCCTGGCTAATTTTTTTCTATTTTTAGTTGTCCAGCTAATTTCTTTCTATTTTTAGTAGAAATGGGGTCTCGCTCTTGCTCAGGCTGGTCTTGAACTCCTGAGCTCAAGAAATCCTCCCGCCTTGGCCTCCCAGAGTGCTAGGATTACAGGCGTGAGCCACCGCACCTGGCCTCTTATTAGGGTTTCTTATAGGAGCTTTCTTGGTGCATTAAATGCTTATTTACAAATCATATTAACTGCAGTACTTGCCAGACTTAGAGAATTACTTGGAGGAGGGTTTCTTAGCACTACTGACTAAAGATCAGTCAAAAAGTGAAGATTGAACATCTCTGACATGATAATGTAGATTAATGGAAGTATTTTTAAGTTTATAAAAATTGAAATTTATATGTATTTTGAGTAGTTCTCCATGTTGTCTCTACACTCATCTGAGTAAAGTAAAGTTGCTTTTAGTACTATTTTATCAGTTATTGAGTGGCCAGCATGAGTACATTTGCCGTTTTCCTTTCCCACCTTAATTGAGGTATAATTGACATACAGTAAATTACACATATTGAAAGTGCACAATTTAAGTTTTGACATATGTATACACCCATGAAACTATCACCACAACCAAGAAAATGAACATATTCATCACTCCCACAAGTTTCCTTATCCCCATTTGTAATCATTCCCCCAATCTCTGTGGTCTCCAGGCAACCACTGATCTTCTTTGTATCACTATAGAGTAGTTTGTGTTGTCTAGAATGTTATATAAATGGAATCATAGAGTGTGTACTCTTTATTTATTTATTTTTGGTCTGGCTTTTTTTACTCAGCATAATTATTTTGAGATTCATTTTTGTTGTTTCTTGTATCAGTAGTTGATTCCTTTTAAGCACTGGGTAACAATCCATTCTGTAGAGAAACCACAATTTGTTTATCCATTCACTTGCTGATGGACATTTGCGTTGTTTCTAGTTTTTGGCAATACAAATGAAGCTGTGCTATCAATGTTTGTGTACAAGTCTTTATGTGGAGATATTCTCCCCCCACCCACCAAGTTACTTTCTTCTTTTAAAAATTGAGGTGAAATTCATATAACACAATTAATTACTATAAAGTGTATAATTCAGTGGTATTTAGTGTATTTACAATGTTGTGCAGCCACCAGTTTCAAAACTTTTCATCGCTGGGCGCGGTGGCTCACGCCTGTAATCCTAGCTCTCTGGGAGGCC